TGGCAGGGCAGAAATAGAATAAAAAATTGTATTCAAATTAAATCAAATCATTTGTACATCAAGCAACAATGGGTATATCATTTCGAGTACAGGGGAATGGGAAAAGCTTTTAAAAAATGTGTAACAAAATTCATCTTCAAACACAGTTTTACAAGCCTGGAAGTATGGAACTTTCAGATCATTAAAGTATAATAGAAGTATATAATACACAATAATAAATCTCGCACAGAAACTAAAAGGGTGAAGTTCAACTTATGCAAGTCAGAGCTCTCCACTAAATTTTGTATAGTATTTAGTAATATATGGGAGAATCTTATTTTCCTAAGTTAAATGAAACAACAAAGTATATGGAGATGAGAACAGCAGGGTGCAAACCAAAGATCGAAGTTAAACAAAACACCAAAATATGATTTGCATTTTTTTTTTTGTAGAGTAAGCCATTCCATCATATTTACCTGTTTCATGAAGAAGTTTCATTTTTCCAAACATAATTCGGTGCTTTGTAAGCCAAACTCTCATGGTTTGATTTAATAATAGCGAAAGTAAAATAAAAAAAATAAAAAAAATGCATGAACTGTGTACCGGATATCATCAATCCTTATAATCATATGAATATCAAAATATTGACTCATTCTCCAGTGTAAATGCTTATAATCACATGATATTACAGAAAGTCACGAAACAATATTCGTTTATAAAAAGGTGATGTCCACAGATGGCAACGTGCAAGTTAAACAGGATAACAGATTAGGATCAATCTTCTCATCACAAATCAACAATATATCCGGTATGCATTCACCTATTAATTATGGAAAAGATTTTGGATAATCTTGATATGCATTCAGTCGTTTCTTTAATATTAGAATTTAAAATTTTGACTGAATTTTTTCAAAATACCTTCAAGCGGGATTTTAAAAAATTTTCAAAAAAAATTACTTAGTTTAGTAAGTCCGAAAATTTTAGGCGGGAATTCAATTACTATTTCAGGTAAATGTCAAACTTTTTTTATATTTATATAGATTGCTATAAAATAGCAATAAGGATTCACTTTAAGTAGAAAATAAAATTCCACTTAAAAATTCAGATTTTACAGCAATTGGGAACGTTTGCGAAATTATTTGAAAAATTGGCGGTTGATTTGTAATCTATATATATATATATAATAAGAATTGCTATTTACCAAAAATAGTAGCAAAAAAATAGGTCAGAATTTAATGCAGCCTATAAATAGTAAGTTTTATTATTTATTTATTTTTTTCTTTAAAAATCATACAACATTAAATGCTACCTTAAATTTCGGACTTTAGTTCATTTTATTATTTAAAAAATCCGGCTAAGATTTATTAAGTGTGTATGTTTTTATTTTTTATTGTTTTTTCTTAGAAACAACGAACAATATTATAATCTCTATCTCTATATTTATAAAATCTCAATTCGAAATATAACAAAAGTTTTAAGATCTCGGTCTTTATATTTGTGCCTTTAAAAAAATATTGAACACTAAAAATATTCTTTAAATTGCACAATCAATCAATTAATCTTAATTTTATGAAAATTACTATGTTTATTTTTTATTAATATGCATAAAGTAAAAATAATTATTTCATCTTTAGATATATAATTTATAATCTTAATATACTATCATTTGGTGTAGACTTTATTATATGAATCATAAAATATTTTTATTTCATAAAATTAAATATATTTTAAAAAAATAAGAAAATTTCTTCAAATCAATCGAGTGATTGAATTAGGGTACTGCCTAGGTTGATTGAATTACTTCTAGGTGATATTTCAAAAAACTTGACACAACTTGGTTGGTCCCAGGTGACTAAGTTATATATCTGTTCGACCACACCAAATCGATTATTGAACCTAAATATAAATTTTATATTGAAAATATTTTATTACGTGAATGTGATGTAGTCCAAACTTCAAATAATCGTATTAACAATACTTTTATGACAACATCTTTAATGATTAATGAATATTTAAATATCATTTTATTAATATTTATATAAATTAAATAATATTTTATTATAATATTTATTAATGTACAATAAATATAAGATTTTCAGAACTGGACCGTCATCGAAACGATTAGGCTATTTTATTAATTCATTTGTAATTTGTTCAGATTTTAATTTAAAAATATTTTATATATATATATATAGTACTTTTTGTAATAAATTTAAATAAAATATGTTACTTACATATCTAAATAATTTATAAATTCAAATATTTAAACTAATTGATAAATAATTTATAAATCTCTATTTTATTTAAATATGCAATTTAATTTAAAATAATTTTAAATATAACAAAATTTATTTAAAAAATTGTATCGANATATATATATATATATATATATATATATATATTTATATATATATATATATATATAAAATAAGAATTAACATTTATAAAAAATAGTAGGTTAATTAATGGTCAAACGCAGGTCCGCATTAATTCTTTTCTATAAATGTCAGGTTTTAATTCCTTTTCACACACTGCATTAATAACGCATTAATTACACCGTTATCACACACTTCTTTTCACACACTAACAGCAACAAAAAGCGGCTTAATCCCGTTAATGCAGCCGTATTGTTTGAAATATTAAAAAGTCATTTTTTTTAATATTGTTTGAAACAAATCCTCATGCCACCTTATTGTTTGAATTTCTAATGAAATAATAATTTTCCTATTTCATATGAAATAGATTTATAGAATAATATTTTAATTGACATATAATTAATATCATTTTTCCAATTCATATGTAATAAACTTATAGATAAAATTTTTAATTGATATATAATTTTATTAATTTGTAATTAGTATTAATATATGATTTAACTATTTTTTATAAGTTCATGTATAACGAATTTGTAGATATTTTTTTTAATTGACTGATAATTTATCGGTTTTTTATTAAGATTAATAAACTAGATAATTTTATATTAAAAAATAAAATTATTTAATTATTTTATACAAGCACATGGATATAAAATTGGAGTTAATCAAAGGATGATCAATTTAAATATCATATGTAAAAACACTGAAAATTATTAACGTTAATTTCAAGTGTTTTATAATTTAAAAGTCATAGTATTGGTTACGAATTAATCCAAATAAACAACTTCAAAACACCATAATTGACACATCAAATTACGAAACACCATAATTCAAATATATGATTAGAGAACACCAAAAGTCTATAATTTCGAAACACATTAATATAGGGGAATATCCAATTTGTGATGATTCATTAATATCACAAAATATTGACACTATGTGTTGTATTAACTAGCATGACATTTGGTATCAAAATATTTTTTTTTTCTTTGTTTGTGTATAAATTAATTGATTTGTGTTGTTCATATTCACGTGCATCTTATCATGTTTTTTCGGAGGCTTTATGCTTTAACTAATGTTTATGAAATAATCTTATGATGTTTTTTCAGGCTTCATGCTTTTTAACTTATGTTTATGAAATAAAACCTAAATAGTAATATTATTAATTTAGGAAAAAAAAATGTATATTGAAATAAGATATTTATTGCTTAAGTTAAACATATTTTGATAAAATAATCTATACTTATATAAAAAGTCATCCTATTTACTAGAAATAGTAGGCAGAAAAGTCAAAGGTAATTAATGCGTTGTATTTCCATCAAGTATTTCAATTGTATTATTATTTTATTGCTAAAAAACCGGTTTGCATTAATTCATCCTTAATTGATGTTTTTTGCAATAAAATCGGACAGATAGACTTCAAGTAAAAAATGTATCATTTCAAATTTAAATTTAAACATTAAAATTTCTTATCATTTTATTACATTAAAATCCTGAATGAATTGTTTGCCATAAAATCGGACAAAATAATAATTGCATAGAATTCAAGTAAAAACATGTCTCATTTAAAATTTAAAATTAAAATTCCTTATCATTTTGTTACATTTCTGACGGAATTAATAATTGCATAGAATTCTATTATGATTTCTAATTATATCAAGGATGTTTAATAATTGCATATAATTTTAAAGATATTTATTTATTATAAAAAAAATTCTAAAAAAATATTTGTGTGTATTTTGTAAAATATTTGTACAAAATGTTTTACTTTAAATATATTTACATAATTTAAATTAATTACATTAATAAATAATATGAACATACATTAAACATTTTAATTACATAGAACAAAAAGAAGAAGAAGACTACATCTATAACTTGTATAAATAATAATAATAATGACATTATATTACAATAAATTTTATAATAAAATAATATGAGTATTATACGAGGAACAAGATTACGTAAAATTGTTATTTTTCTTATATCAAGAAATAAATATATATAATAAATCAAATTTATATTATTATAAATATGTGAGCGAGATAATATATTAATTAATTTACAGGCTAGAGCTACCAGACTCAGGTTTAATGTTCCGACAAAAAAATGACGTTGATGAAAAGATGTAAAAAGATAGATGGTCAAACCCTATTAATTTTTAGGCTTGAACGGATAAGCCTTACGGTCTACTCATATTATAATATCTCACGTGAATCCCACGAGCTAACGGACAAACTCTGTGTAAATGACTTATTTAATACTTCTGTCTCGTGCATCGCACGAGCTACGTACTAGTTTGAATTTCAAATTCATTCAAACATTTAAAGGAAAATATCATAAGCATGTTTTTTTAAATACATTCCATCTTATTTTAACTTACACATAATCACATTCCTAACAAATATTAAATTTACTTACATATTTTTAAATTAATTACATCAATAAATAATATTAATATACATTAAATATTTATCATTATATAAAAAAGAATATTACTTCTATAAGTGTTATAAATAATAATGATATTATACAAAAATAATTTTTTAATAAAATAATATTTGAGTATTATGATGAACCAAAATATTCGAAATTATTATTATTTTTTGTATTAAAAAATAAGTATATATGTTAAAATATTACTTATATTAATATAAACGGGTCAACGGACTAATATATTGTTAAAATAAAGTTTTAAAAAATGTTCTAAGGTATGAAATCGGCGTGCAATAGGATTCTCACTAGTAGAGTAGAATACAACTTTCATATAATTCACCCTGCTTGCATTTCATGCCACAATATGTTATATCATTCTATCTCTATTTGTTGCGGCACATCTTCTTCATCAGCATCTGGGCTTTTACTAATTTCCTCCAGAGTTAAACCGGAGGCTTCAACCGTTCGGCTGACCCATTCCTTCAGAGGCTCCTCATTCAAGTTCAGCCTCAGGAGCCCTGCAAATATCCCTCCCACAAATGCAACTGGTTCCTATTACAGAAAACAAAACAAAACAAAAAAAGTGGATTTACAAATCTGCTTAACAAATGGCAGTTTGAATAAAAGTGATTAATCATAGGTGATCATTTCCCTTGACATAATTTGGGTGGTCTCACATATTGGTCAACAGTGATGCCTGACAAAAATGGCTGATCATTTGCAAAAGAAATATGCTCTTGCCGTCAACTACACATCTTATGAAGCAGCACAAGGTAGATAGCTTAATATTCTTACAAGCTATACGAGATGTGAATCAGGAGACTGGAGATGCACATCTCAGCAAGTATATTCTGCTTTACGCAACAAATAGCCAAACCAATTCGCATTCATCAAATCAGGGGGAAAAATTGTCAAACGGGGGCAAAACGAGTGCGGTCCCACACAGGTGAAGCGCACCATAAGAGGGTTAGCCCAAATGAAGCCTAAGTCAGGTTCCATCCCATAACCGGAGGAGTAGCCCACTAGACATATAAGTTAGGCCTCTGATACCATGTCAAACGGGAGTAAAACGAGTGCGGTTCCACACAGGTGAAGCGCACCATAAGAGGTAGGCTCAAATGAAGCCCAAGTGATGTTACATCCCAAAACCAATTGGTGGTAGGAGAAGTAGTCCACTAGGCTTATAAGTTATGCCTATTTTCCCTGGGAGACAAACTCACAAGTGTATATTCTAACAAAAATTACCATTGTAATAAAGATAAAACCACATAGGCAACAACTAGGAACAACAAAATGTAAAAAAACTCTTAAGCTATGTTTGTTTGGTTTGAAGGATTTACTGAGGGATTTGAAATCTACAGATTTCAAATTTACAAGTTCAAATCCTCAGTTGAGATGGTAATAGAAATTGAGGGATTCCAAATATATGCTAGATAATTTTTAGTCATTATTTTGAAGGATTTTAAATGACTTCTCAAACCTAGTCATTTTAAATCCACTGTTTATCACCGTTGACGACCACACCGTCTGCCATTATTTAGGTTTATCACCACCGCGAGTCAACACCATCGGTGCGAGCTAGACAATGAATTTATAATCATTTCAACAAATCCATTCAATGTGTGTGCAAGTAAAAACTTTATATTTCAAAAATGTTGAAATCAAGGCATTTCCCCCTTAAAAAAAATGTAGCCTTAAGGAATTTCAACTACAAAGGTGATAGATGAAGGGCTTAGACTAATGCCATTGCCATCTTTTGCAGCCACTTGTTTTTTTACTTTGAGAAATTCAGTTCATGCCACCACTTCGACATAGATAAAAGTAGGTTTATGAACCATAGGATTCACACAAAAAGAAGATAAAGATAAATTTACAGTTACATCAGGGTTTAATAATTACTTGTTGCACCCAACGGCTTGTAGCATTACATCATCGACCCACTTGAGCATATACCAGTTGGGAAGTGCAAAATTACTCCCAAAACAGAAAAGGTGGCAGTTTGTGTCAACCCAGAAATATTTCCAACCCACAAATATGAGTTAGCTCCACTTATTCAAGGAGTAAATATCAAACCAGAAAAGCAATCATTATCCTCCTACCTATGTAAATAACGATATTATCTGTTAATATATGAACATTGGTTCAAGAACTAATGTGATTCACATACAGTTTAAAAGAAACTGTCTAGCATTGTTGTTAAAGTCAAATTCACTAGACTCTGAAGGAGTAAATATCAAACCAGAAAAGCAATCATTATCCTCCTACCTATGTAAATAACGATATTATCTGTTAATATATGAACATTGGTTCAAGAACTAATGTGATTCACATACAGTTTAAAAGAAACTGTCTAGCATTGTTGTTAAAGTCAAATTCACTAGACTCTTAAGCGAAATCACCCCCCACCCCCAGCATTCGTGTCTAGAAGGAAAAACACAACACTGTGGAATACACAAAACTACAAAACAAAAGATAAATGCTAGGAAAAGCATTAACCAAGTTATCCTTACCTTTTATGAGGAACAATGTACTTGACTGAAAGCCTTAACCAAGTCTATGTTTGCAGACAAAATGGGAACGTTAAAACATCCAATGACAATGGAAGAAATGGGGGTAAAACGGGTGTGGTCCCACGCACATGAAGCGCACCATAAGCAAGGAAAGCCCAGATGAAGCTCAAATGGGGTTTCATCCCAAAACCAATTGGTGGAAGGAGGAGTAGCCCATTAGACTTATAAATTAGGTATATTTTCCTTATATAAAGGATGTGGGACAACTCACAAGTGAATATTCTAATAGACAAAAACAAAAAAAACATGTCTTTGCATGATATACAATTGCAAATGATGTTCTTCATGAAGCGCAAAATCAATTTTAACTACCTATAACTATGAACAGAAAGACTTGTATAATTATGTTAGGATATATGAAAGAAAGTAAGTTTACAGAAGTTAGCATTTCTCATACCAGCATTCAGCTAGGACAATTGATTCCCATATCTAAGATCATAATCAATAGAAAGCACGCGGCGACTATAACTCAACCAAGGCTAGGATTAACTAATTCAATCAAGATGTACATGTTGTCAAAAATCGCACACAGAAGGACCGATCTTTAGTACTTCAGCCAACAACGGTGACTAATGAAAATTCGAGTTACAGACAAAACAACGACAAGTACATATGAACATTCAAGTTCGTATATTTGGTATTAGCTGATTAATGGCATACCTTGAGCGCCTCCTTCAGAATGGGCTCTTGGATGGGATTGGGGAAAAAAGCCCTCACCGGCCCGAGCCCACGGGAATTTACCATAGAACCGGGAGTGAATGAAGTACCCGATGAGAAAACCAGACGCTTACCTCCTCTAACAGCAGACTTCCAGCTGCACTGTAAAAGCGGATTAACACCCAATAAATCAGCCGTAAAACCCAGACCTTGATGGTTAGGTAGGTAAATGGCATAATTGCGACAAGTTTCCGGTGAAACTAACCGGCGGCGGCGTGGTAGTGACTGTTGCAAGCGCATCCAAAGCCATTATCTATCTGAGAATGGAAAATTGCCGATGTTCTTTCCCCGAACCACATTTTCAGCTGCATTTTTAGCCTGTGTTTTCTAGTTTGGTGCAAGTCGTGTTATTATCTTCACGATTTTAGCTTGGGATGCCTTTTCTTTTTCAAGACTTCCAGGAACGCTTTTAGTACTAACAATGTCCAACAGTCCAAGTCTAAAACAACTCAATTTAATAGAGTAAAATACTCACAATTGCATTGCATTTATCTAGAGTTGTAAACGAATCGAATATTCGCGAATAAAAGCTCGTTTGAGCTTGTTCGTGTTCGACAACAACTCATTTGTTTGTTAATCGAGTCGAGTTCGAACAGAAAATAAGGCTCGTTTAATAATCAAACGAACACGAGTTCGATAATGTTCGCGAACATTAATTTAATATAATTTAATTTTATTTTTATATATTTACATTATATTTTCAATAAAAAATCTAAAATATAATAATATTTTATTTTACTTTATTTATTTTCGAGTTCGAACGAGTTCGAACAAACAAATTTTGAGGTAATCAAACATATTTAAAAAGTTTATATATTAAATTATTCGAACACAAACGAACTCGAACTTTGAGGAACAATTAAACGAACAAGCTCGAACATGAATTTTTTGCTCGAAAAATAAATAAAAGAACACAAACACTGTTCGAACATAAACGAACACGAGCTCGAACAGCCTAAGCTCGGTTCGGTTCGATTCGTTTATAACACTACATTTACCCAGTAGAATCAAAATTACATACATAATATATAAAGTACAATTTTATCATTTTATACACTGGTGAGAATCCCGTGCGATGCACGGGGGTCTCATACCTTAGAACATGTTTTCAAAACTTTATTTTAACAATATATTAGTCCGCTGAAACATTTATATTAATATAAAAATATTTTGACATATATATTTATTTGTTAATACGGAAAAAATTAATAATTTTACATAAGATGACCCATTTATATGATGAAGTTTTTTGAATTTTTTCGTAAAATCACAAGAGAAATGGGTCCCGTATGTAAAATTATTATTTTTACGCCGGCGACGAGGCTAGGGTTTCGAGCTGAGAAGAGGGGATTTTACGGGAGAGAGAAATTCGTGTTGATGCGGCAGAGCGTTGACGCCATTCTCCCCCTTCCTCTTATTTCTCTGTTCCAGAGCTTGTGAGAGGCCGACCGTTTTCGGATTTGGCTAGTGGTATTAGGCAGGTTCGGACGGTGTCGGATTGTCTAGTGGTGTTAGACGGTTGGGGGGTGATTGTGGTTTCTTGCGGCCGGGATGCGAGTTGGTTCTTTCGGTTTGTTATGAGGCTTGGGTCATCGTCTTGCTAGGCCTTCTGCAGTGGCGGGCGTGGTATCTGAGCTTCGGAGCTCTCCTCGGAAGCGGCTTTGTCTACTGTATTGTTACGATGTTTCTGCTGAGGGAGGCAGTGTTTTTTAGATAGTAGTTCTGTTGTTTTGTGTCAGTTCATGTGTTTTTGGTCTGGGTGTTTGCCTGTGTATCCATGTCCTGTGTTTTTGGTTTGGGCCGTTGGCCCCTGTGAGCCCGAGTGTCAACTTTATTACCCTGTTGGGGTCCGACAGTTGGATAGTTCCCTGTTGGAGCCTTTATGTCGTTGTTTTTTTTGTGTTTTGTAGTGTTTTTGAGTATTACCCCGTTGGGGTCGGTTCTAGGCGGTCTTTTAACCTATTCTCCCACTTTTTCAGCTATTGACTGCTTGTATTCAGCTGTTGGCTGTTTGTAATCAGCTGGCGGCTGTTCTTCGCACACTTGTGCGTTTTATATAATATCTTTATCGTTCCCGTATAAAAAAAAATGGGATTTTCTAAAAAAAAAAGTTACATAAATTATAAAGTTTAGAAAGTTTGATTTTTTTAATAGATAGATAATAGCAATAAAATGAAAATAATTAAATAATTCAAACATTATGTCACTAAATTACAGTAAAAAAACCGATAAGAAAATTGAGTCCATATTGAAATTGTCTTTCTATGAGTCTAATGACTTCCACATGGCAGACCATGCTCCAGTCCTCCCGCCATGTCCGACCAGCATGATGCTGCGCCTTGGCCCCATTTGCACTTCGGCCGACAACTTGTACGGCGTTTAACCATGTCCGGCCAAGTCTGAAATGCTACGTCTTGTTGTCCGTTCAACTCTTTCAGTCATCCTTCGAGCAGAAACTGACCAGCACGTTCTGTGGTGTCCAGTCGCTGAGTTTTGCCGGAAAACACCAAAAACGTAGTTGCGCCTTTGACCAGCTGATCTTGTCGTCGATGGCACCCGCTCGCAGCACCCCATGCTCAGCTCAGCCTACCGACCTCCCGCAACATCTTCTCTGGTCAGGCTGTGTCCGTTCAGGCTGTGTCCGTTCAGGCGACTTTAGATATGAGACGGACCAACATGATGCTGCGGAGTCTATCCGCCTTCAGCAGCCTTGCACCAGAATTCCGGTCAGGCCCTCTAGACCACCAGTTCGGGCCCGAGCAAACCAACCGCCTAGAGCCCACACATCCAACAGTCTTGAAAACAGGCACCTTCTCTGTTTGGTCCGCGTTACTACCTTGGAGAAGAAGTCGGCTAGCATCTGAAGGAAGGAAAAAAACCAAGCATTACATAAGTGTAAAGATATGCAGTTCTAAAAAAAAAAATGATTCCAAAGCATTTATTATGGAAGATTTGTGATAAATATAGACATCAAGATATGATAGAATGCATATTTATTAAAAAATATAATAGAAATCACTTTACAAAATTCTGAATATTTCAAAAAAAAAAGTAAAAAAATCATGGGCGTGAATTGCCCAAAAATTTCAAAAACCAATCCCATGAATAGAAAAAAAACCAAAGTTTGGGCGAGAATCTTCATATTTTTTTAGGTTTTTCTTTATTGCTATTATATATTAGTAGATTACATTACTTTAAGAATTAATACGAAACACCTAACATTTTATTTTTAGATTTACATTATCTTAAATGTTGCGTCAAACCAGACTCGAGACTCGATTACCTAATAAACAAACCAAACTATCGAATTTTAATGATTACGAAACATAATAATGAACAAAAAGTATGAAACGCATCAAAATCTCGTGAACTCTATCAAATTTATATAGTTATGCTCAATAAAATTATAAGATTAGAGAATCGGGGTAAGAGGTTACGGTCCCACGCAGATGAAGCGCACCATAGTGATGTTCCATTCCAAAACCAATTGGTGATGGGAGGAGTAGCTCACCAGGCTTATAAACTAGGCTAGCTAATTTACACTGTAGAAAATTAATGTGGGACAACTCACAAATGAGCATATAAACTAGGCTCATTAACCCAGTAGAAAATTAATGTGGGACAACTCACAAATGATAATCCAACACGCCTCCTCAATCTGTAGAAAATCAATGTGGGACAACTCACAATTGATAATCCAGCACTCCTCCTCAAATCCAGCAGGCCTCCTCAATCTGTAGAAAATCAATGTGGGACAACTCACAAATGATAATCCAACACGCCTCCTCAAATCCAGCAGGTCTCCTCATCCAACACGCCTCCTCAATCTGTAGAAAATCAATGTGGGACAATCCAATGTGGGACAACTCACAATGATAATCCAGCACGCCTCCTCAAATCCAGGACGTCTCCTCACTCTGTAGAAAATCAATGTGGGACAACTCACAAATGATAATCCAACACGCCTCCTCACAAATGAGCTTATAAACTGTAAGAAACGGGGGCAAAACGGGTGCGGTCCCATGCACGTGAAGCGGACCATAAGCAGGAAAAGTCCAAATGAAGCCCAAGTGGGGTTCCATCCCAAAACCAATTGGTGGAAGGAGGAGTAACCCATTAGACTCATAAATTAGACCTATTTTTCCTATATAAATGATGTGGGACAACTCACAAGTGAATATTTTAATACACCTCTTCACTTGTGAGTCCTTAATAAGAAGGCCCAAGCCCGTATACAGAGCTGGGTACCCAAGCCCTACTAGAAACAGGCTCCCATAAACGGGTACGTGGGGAAAAACGGGTACGTCATCGCGTGGTCCCACATAGAACCGACTCTGATACCATGTAAGAAACGGGGCAAAACGGGTGCGGTCCCATGCACGTGAAGCGTACCATAAGCAGGGAAAACCCAGATGAAGACCAAGTGTCGTTCTATCCCAAAACCAATTGGTGGAAGAAGGAGTAGCCCATTAGACTTATAAATTAGACCTATTTTTCCTATATAAACGATGTGGGACAACTCACATATGAATATTCTAATATAAACTAAGCTCATTTACCCTGTAGAAAATCAATGTGGGATAACTCACAAATGATAATCCAACACGCCTCCTCACAAATGAACTTATAAACTAGGTTCATTTACCTTGTAGAAAATCAATGTGAGACAACTCACAAGTGACAAATGAGTCCTTCGTAAGCCCAAGCCCAGAACAAACCGGGTAGAGATATAGAATCCAAGCCCAGAATGTCCCAAGTGACAAGTGAGTTCTTCGTAAGCCCTAGCACAGAGCAAGCCGAGTAGAGATATAGAACCCAAGCCCAGATATCATATAAGATTAGAGAATCGGGGCATGAAGGTGTGGTCCCACGCAGATGAAGCGCACCATAAGAGGGTGGACCTAGGGATGCCATAGTGAGATTCTATCCTAAAAACAATTAGTGACGGAAGGAGTAGCTCACTAGACTTATAAACCAAGCTCATTTACCTTGTAAAATTAATGTAGGATAACTCACCAACAACTATCAATAAATTTGTTAACCTCGCGTGATGCACATATTTTCAATGGAAACTTCTTCCATTATCTTCTATTGACAAATTATAAAAGATATATTGTCTTGTTGTGCATGTTAAATGTTGATGTTACTTAGAAAGGTTCATGAATCTAATTCTGTAACAAACAAAACAAAGAAAAGACATAATTAATTCAGTAGGAAACAAGAAAAACGAAAAGGACTAAATTAACAACCGGTGGATTGCGTACAATACATGCAGTATTTGTTATCTCGTGACTTAATATATAATGGTCCTCGAGCTCTAAAAAATGTTGGTCAAAGTGAAAATGGCAGTGGTGATTGGTGAAGCCCAAATACAGTGACCAGTCTTTGCATCTTGAGAAGTGGGTACCAATACTATTAATTAAACAATTCTCAAGTCAAACCTCCAAATACTGATTTTCAACCTTTAATTGAGATCAACTTTAAGGCCTTGTCGGCCCTGTCATACGCACCAACACTTGGATTTTTTTTCTTTTAAATTGGTTTTACCTTTTTTTCTTTTTTTTTTTCAAAATGATAAGGATATATTAACAATGAACCAGTATTATAAATATTAAATAATATAAATAGAATATGATATTTTGTAATATAAGTATGCGTTTTTTATCATAAAGGTTTGACGGTTTCATACAAGAACTGGTGTATAAAATAAATGGCAGTTTGGTCCTCACAACTCTCACACCCATTGCACTTCATATTTTCTTCATATATATTCATCACTTGTTGCAAGGGAGCTTATACAAACAAGTCTTGGGACTTGGGAGTAACTAGTAAGTTACTAATACCATGTCTCTTAGCTTGCTTCATTATCTTTT